ACCAGCTGGGAAAACAGAGTCCATGTACCGCCCCTCGCCACTCCCACCTGAGTATTCTGACCAATGAAAGCTTGAGTGGGAAAGAAGGGACAAGAATGAGATTGGAGCTTTCTTAGTGGAGAGAGGAGGGGAAAATTTAACCAGTGGGCTGCTTCATAGACCTTATCAGGTCCTCTGGATAATATCAGTTATCACTTGAATGACCACATGAATCTGCATGGCTTAGGACATGTTCCCAGCTACTCTAAAAGAGGAACTGTGGCATCAGGTGGACTGAGCTTAAACTCTGCAGTTTTGTTAGAGAAAGAGAGACCAAAAGAACAATTTAGAGAACCTCCCTCAGGCTAAGGGGGTTGGGTTCTGCAAGTGTGTGCTTTAAGAGATTACATTCTCCAGAGTGACCTGGACCTGGGTTCTCTCCACTGTGTCTCAGTGGATTGGGTGTATGAGAAACTTTGCTCAAGATACTGGGTGGGAACCTCATCCTTATTTTGTGTTTTCCTGGGCAAGCACGATTTTTATTTTTATTTTTTGTGGTACTGGGAATCGAACTCAGGACCTCACACTTGTGCTGCTGAGCTCTATCCCCAAGTCCCATCTAATCCAGACATGAGATATGGTATTTACCGAAAAGAATACCTAGTGAGACTGCTACACATCCTGAAGAGTGCATCCTAACTCATTTTTGGTTACAGGGAGTAAGTGCCTCTTTTCTCTGGTGCTTTTATGTATACACACTCATTTTCCAGGGACTTACAAGTCTCTAACAGCTGGAAAGGAAAAAAAAAACAAAACCCAAGGCTTTAGAAGTTTCTAACCATGAAAGTGAAAAAGGAAGCAAAAATGATAAACTATGCTTCAGAGGGCAAGTTGTTCGGATAAACGGGGAAACGGAAGGATATGCTAATGAGAAGGCTTTTGGCTGACTTTACCAAAGTCATACCCTCAGTGTCTCTTTTTAACTCTTGCCACTGGCTTGCCAAGAGAAAATGTCACTGGGGTGGGTCTGAGAGGTCACCAAGGCTGAAATGAAGAACCAGCCCCATCCTTTTGTACCAACTCCCATCGTGGAAAAATAATTTTTAAGACATGTAAGATTCACGTAAAATGTTTACGGAAAAGAAATTTTAGAACATGCTTGAGAATGAAGCGTAAGGCTCTAACTGGACCTGACTCTCCCAGCCCCTGGCCTGCTTGCCAGCAGAATCACTACTCTGCAGGGAATTCAGCTCAGCACCTAAAGTTGTCATCAGCAATCATAGGATGTCTGAAGGAGACACGATAGGGCAAAAAATTTTGCAGGTCCGGGGGACATCTGGAGACACCTGAAAATTTACACAGGACACTTCAAGGACTCTGGGCACTGAGGTGCAAGACTGCCAGAAAGGGGGCTGGGGATTTTGCTCAGCGGCAAAGCGCCTGCCTGGCAAGCGCAAGGTCGTGAGTTCGGTTCCCGGTACCGGAGAAAAACCAAAACCAAAAAAAAAAAAACAAAGACTGCCAGAAAACTGGCCACAGACGTTTATTGGAATCTTTCCACCTAACGTCCCTGCCTTCTTCTCCGTATCTCAATAAAAGGAACATATTTCTCTTTGTTCGAGGCAGATGGTCTTATGCTCTCTGTCTGCCTGTTCCCAGGCACAATAAATCCCATGCTATGTTGACTTTACACAGGCCTGGTGGTCTCCACTGGTTCTTCTCCTCCCCCTGTACATTAGGTGTTATATGAAGTGGTGCTCAGAGAAAAATAAGATGCTCTATGAGATGAAAGCTGGGTATATTTATGGCATCTCAGGGGTCTTTAAGGCGGGGAACCTACCATGTGTGTTCTACTGTTAGAATACAAATTGCTGACATGTGCTTGAAGTTGAAATATGCTGCTCACCAACATTGCTATTTCTTTGAGGGTGGAGGGAGTGCAATTTATAGGTGAAAAGTTCAGGTCTAGAGCCTGAATTATAGGCTTACTGTGTCTTTAAGGCCACTAGGAATTTTTTGAATGAGCATCATAGAAAGAAAAACAGCTTGAGTAATGCTTTTGTCTTGAAGCTGCAGTTAAATTCAAATTTTCTTTTCTTTTCCTTTCTTCTCTTCTCTTTTCTTTTCTTTTATTTCATCCTCCCTCAATACCAGCCACTGACTGCCCAGGGATAAGATGAGGGAGCAAATATTCACTCTGGACCAGAAGGGAGGTGGGAGACCAGGCGTGGGATCAGAAAGGACCTAAGATAGTCAATGAAAGGAGAGACAAAGTTTGCTATATTTCAACTTTGCCCGATGTCCTGATGTCCTTGTCCTTAATGATCAGCTGACCAAATAAAGCAATCTGAGATGCCATTCACTGTCCTTGCCAACTGGGCCTGGCCCTGAGCTAACTGGCACCTCTTTCCAGGGATGTCCTGGTAATTTAGTAAGAAAATCCTCGAATCACAGAGTGTCTGGTCTTGTTGGCTTGTGGGTGCTGAACTCAGAATACACAGTGTCATTTGGGCACCTGAGGGGAAAGTTCAAGGAGGGGCCTACAATGCGTGCTTCGAAAAATATCTAGGACTAGAAAACCCTACAGTCAAGGAAGTAAAGGAAACCAGAGAACAGAATAACTTGATCTTTTAACATGTGACTCAGATCAGATAGTAGCTGACTATTCTCTGGATAGGAAATGACTCGCATCACCTATTCCAGCTTAGTGGTGTCTTTCACTTTAATTCCGAGGGATGGAGAAGGAAAGAGCTCCAATTCTTGACTAACAGGCCATGGAGCTCAACAAAAAACTATCCTTGTCAGGCAGACTGGAGTTGTAATGCACAGTCCTGGACAACCCCATACCCTTGAAGAAAGTGCTTAGTCCTCTGGCTTTGAACTTGACCACAAAGAGTCAGGATATGAGTGACATTAATCTTTCAGAGCCTCAGCTTTCCAGAGCCATCTGTAAAGTGGGTTTAAGAGCAACTTTTTGTGAGGATTCATGGGAGGAACATAAGAGGTGGCAAACTTAAACAGCCCAGCACAGGGCCTTACATGGAATTGGCTCTCTTTAAGCATTTGTTCTCTTTCTGATTTCCATTCTGGATTTTCATGAGTGGGTTACAGAAACGATGGCATGGTGATGAACTGGTTAAAGCAAGGAGTGCACAATTTGGTCCTGAAATGCACCCACTGGTTGAAAAGTATCCAACCAGTCACAGAAGTAAGCAAAGTACTTTGTCTCTCCCATCATCTGCAAAAGGAAACAGCCATGGAAATGAGCTCCCACCCTAAGATCCTCCCAGCCCCTTAAGGTGGAAGGTGAAAGTCTTTTGCTACCTCTAGATTCCCCACCCCAAGCCTCACGCAGTCATAGGGGTTTTTTTGGAGGTGGGTGAATCTAGAGTATGTGATTGATTTGTAGTGTAATACTGGGATTAAAGGTGCTAGGATTAAGGGTGGGTGATTGCTGGATCAGTCTGCTGATTGGGTTGGCAGCCCACTAATTCTGGTAGAACGAAGATAATATAAGGGACAGAAAGAGGCTCTTCTCACTCTCTTTTGCTGCTTTTGCATTTTCCACCACCATGAACTGTTGCTCCAATGCTCTGTGTCACTCTGCCTTGCAGCCAGCTGATTATGGACTGAACCTCCACAAACTGTGAATTAAATAAACTTTTCCTCCCTTAACTTGTGGGTGTTGGATATTTTGTCTCAGCAATGCGTAAAGTAAGTAAAACGCCCTTCATCTCCAACTGGGCATGGACTTCCAGGGACCTACCAATTCCTCACCACCTCCCTGTAGAAGCTCTACACACTCACCTGCCCAGAGGTAAGTTCATGTTCCTTTGCCTATGTCCAGTGGCACTCCAAGAGTAGAGCCTAACCTGAGGACTGTCCTCAGAGTCCAGTGTTCTCCAACAGCTGAGTAGTCACCACAATATGTGTTTTCACTTGGTGAACCATTTCTCCTACTAAGCCACCTGAAGGTCAGCTGTGAGTGGATCAAGAAGCCTGCCAGTGGGATTCCTTTCTGCCCCATACTTCAGTACAACTATTCAAGTGAATTCAAGTTAAGGGAATGCACATGTTCTTTTGTGGAGCAGACATGGATGTGGGGCCTAGTTACCTCTCCCAAAGAAATTTTTACTGTAAGAGGCAGGTGGTCAACTTGCTTGGTGACTCTCCACATCTTTTCCCTCCTCCAGGTACCTTAATTCAGGCTCCAATTTAGTTTCTGTATGTAGTAGAGTAAACATCAACATTCACCGAACATCCATTTCCCCTTCTATTAGGGAAGTATTTACTCCCTCTCCACCTTCATCCTAGTATTCACAGCAAGTTAGACTTTAGAGAGACTGAGACAGATGGGCCTAAATGAACAGCAAAGGGAATGCGATTTTTTTCCTTTGTTTTATTAATCATTAGCTACAGATAAAATCTGAACAAGTTTATGGTTTCAAACATTAGCCCAAAATAATGTAACTTCCTCAGAGCATGCTGATAGGGTCAAGGGATTGTACAAAGTCCAGGCCATAGTGAATGTTTGAAAAAACACCTTACAGTCTCAAAATAAGCTAAAAAGAAATGTTCCACTATGGGGAAGTAAAAGGAAACTTCTCTCTGAATTTCTTCAAAACAGCCCCAGTTTCACTGTAAAACAGCAGTGACCTCTGAAGAAGAAAATGATATTCCTTGAACCATTTAATCACAGAAATATGGCTGGAGATTTCATTTGTTGCACCTGTCATCTTGGTACTTGTCAACCTTTGCACTTAATGATGCATTCTCTTTATATTACCTTAAAAAAATCTGTCACACTGCAATAAACTCTACCTTCATATGACTGCCTACATGTCTCATCTGAAATCTTTCATCAAAGCCACAAAGAACCAAAGAGCAAATGTCACCTATTCCTCACAGTGTGACAGTGTTCCACCACCATGAACTGCTGCTCCAATGTGCTGTGTCACTCTGTCTTGGAGCCAGCTGATTATGGACTGAACCTCCACAAACTGTGAGCTACATAAACCCCTCCATCCTTAACTTGTGAGTGTTGGGTATTTTGTCTCAGCACTAAGTAAAGTAAGTAAAACACTTCTCAGAGACACAAGTGCCAGCAGAGGTTGACTCCATTTTCCACTCTGAGGATAGCATAGGACCTGGGCCTGCCCCATCATAACGTTACAATCCCTTGGTTTTGACGACTAGATACATCAGTAAGAAAATCAGTTGAGCCTTTAAGTTACAAGGAGCTTTTTGCTGGAACACCTGAGAACAAGATGTGTCCATAAAAATGAACTTGACTTTGGGAAAATGTAAGCATGAAATTGCTCAGGGCAACCATATAGGGAGGTGAAGATGAAGTCCACACAGGAAATCAGAGAAAAGAAGAGACAGTAGCTGATGGCAATGTTTGAGTTCCTAGTTCAAGCTACACCTGATTTATCCCTGGAAGTCATCACTACATAACCTAATACAATTTTCTATGTGACTGGAGCACTCTGAATTGGGTCAGTGCATTAAAATAGAAAGAGTTCTCATTAATACATCTTCCTTGGCCTGCTCACAAATTTTCACCATGAACATGGCTGAGTTTGGTTAACCCTCATAGGTCTCAGTAATCAGCTTTGTTCCCAGCTCATATGGTGTTATTTTGAGTCATTAGTTAGAAGCTCAGCTTTGACTTCAGGAGCTCCAAAGCTGCCATACGCAGGCAGCTCTGTCTTCATCTGCTTCAAGTGAGCAGTCATCATGGAAAACTCTATCCACCCCATCATAACTCTTCTAGACTAGGCATGCAAGACTCTTCACCCAGAGGCTGGGCAACAGCAAGAAGTATCACTCTGTACCCAAAGGGGCCTTCTCCACTTCTGCCATTACCCAGCATCCTGGAACACCAGAGTGCCACCTTCTGAGCAGAAATGGAAAAGTCCCATGAGATTTTACACGATGAACCTGGGCTTTTCCAAGATCCTTCCAACTAGACACCCCTGTTACACTCAGTCTGGATCAGCCCAGACAGACTGAACTCTAGTTGAGGCTGTGAGCAACCTTTGTGTGCAGATTCACTCTCACAAATAGCCACTTAAGATGGTGGACTCAAATTTCCCCAACAGGGAACATGGACAAAGAAAGCCCCACCCCCCTGTCCAAATCTGTCTCTTCTATTCTGCTCCAGACAGCAGAAAGAACATGCATTGTACGATTCTAGAACCCAGAATAGGATGGAGACAACTACTATCCCTCCCTAGACCCACACAGCGTCACTTAAAACAGCTCCAGAGGGTTCTGGGGGTTGCTGGATGACAGTAGAGCTTTCTTGGGAACTCAAAAAGGTCACAATCCCTTAAGAAAATTGACTGTCACATCCAGAATTCTTATGGAGGAGGGGAAATGGAAGAAACCTTTTTCAATGTTGGTAAGCACTCCATGAATACCATTCTCTATATGGTGCCAAGTTACTGGCACCCCTAGGTCTTCTAGTCTCTTCTTGTACAGGAGTGAATTGTCACGGACAAGATCATACTCACAGCTCACAATGAAAGCTTCCGGTACCTGAGACACTATGTCGTCTTCTGTGATCAGGGGTGAGCATGACCAATCTGTAACAATTTTCATCTCCAGGTAAGCATCCTCATTCACCGGCTCAAGGGGCCTGGACTGATAGCCTCTCTTCTTAAACCTGTCTGGGATGTTCTCTGGACCCAACCACTTTCTGTACTTCTCCCAGACTTCTGGAGGCAAATGAGCACCTTTCTCAACTGTACTTTTCCAGGAAAGGCTGATATCCAGGTGACAACAGAAACAGTAGAAAGCAAGATCCCATGTGAGCAGGGGGATGTTTCTGTTCTGCTGGTAAGAAGGGGACTGGAAGTCTAGGCACTGGAGCGCAGCATAGATCAGAACCTGGGCACGAATCTTGGGGAGATCTGGTTGGTTCACAAACTTTTGACAAATCAAGGCTGCTACGCCCGCTCCCATGCTGTCACCACACACAATAACTCGGGCTGGATCCACTCCATACACATCCAGGGATTTTAGGAAGTGGATGGTGGCTGCCACACAGTCTATTGTCATGCCTGGAAACTTATACTTGGGTGACTTGCGGTATCTGAAAATGAATCAAGGCACATCATCTGCACTTGTCACCCCAATGAGACCCAAAATATCTGCATCTAGAATCTGTCAGCCCAAACTTATTCTGCTAACCTCCCTTTTCAAAACCTGAGCAGATGCAGGTAGGTGTAAGTCTTCAATGAAATGATAAATGCAAACTCCTCTTACTTTACAGGTTTGCAAAATGACAGCCGCCATTTTTACAGTTTCAGGGCCCTATAGGGCACAAGTTGCTTTTACAAGAGTCCCATCATCCAGCTGTTGGGCAACAGTTTAACCATCACCAGCGCCAGCCTCATCTTTCTGAACCTACCTTATGTTGTTTCCCCAGCCCACACCTGTCTCTGCTTCCTGTTCTGTGATTCTTATGAGCAGCTGTAGGCTTCCTTGGGTTTTGATTCTAATGTATCCTACCGTGCATACAGGCTTCGTGGGGAGCCTTGTAACCTTGTAGACTTTTTTTCCCAATAGAGGCCAGCGGATCACATACAGGACTCCTCCAAATCAGGTATGCCAACTCTAAACCATGGCTGTCAATCAAGGAGGGATATAAACATAACACTGCTAGACTTCCTCATTGCTCAAGAGATCCCACAAATCTAGATTTTGTGAGAAATTTTATCATTTTCAAATGCTAGCATAAGCACAATTTGTAATAGCTAGGTCTTGGAAACAACCCAAATGCCCATCAACTGAGGAATGGATAAAAAAGATATGGTCTTTTTATACAATGGAGTACTACTCAGCCATAAAGACAGATAAACCTGAGACTTTTATACATTAATGGGTGCAACTTGAGACCATACTCATAAATGAAATAAACCAGACTCATATGTGTAAACATGATATTGTCTCCCTACTGTGAGAAGCTGAAAGTGTAAATGAGACCCAAAGTGTAAAATAGATATTGCAAAATGGGAAGAAACTATTCAAAAGGAAAGAGAAACTGGGATGGGGGAAAGGAGAAAAGAAGGAAAGAAAATGAGAAAAATTATATATATATATATATATATATATATATATATCAGTAGTTAAGGTAGTTATTCTACTAATTTCTCTTAGTCCTTTGAGTAACTAATTTAAAGATAACAATGAGCAATTGTTACACTCTATTATCTTGTTTTGAATTTTTTTCTACTTAAAATAAAATTTAAAAAAAAATGCTGGCATAGATAGATGATAGGTGATAGATGATAGATAGATAGATGATAGATGATAGATAGATAGATGATAGATGATAGATAGATAGATAGATAGATAGATAGATAGATAGATAATAGATAGAAGAAACCTGCCAGGCATTTTCATTCTGATGCCTTCACTCTGTGCTACCAGGATATAGGATGGGAAGAATGTAACTCTCTGACACATTTGCTGACATATTCTATCGATGATCTCTTGATTGGCACAATCAGAAAAATAAGAGGTAGAGCGCCAAAACTGCATCTAGACTTCATTCTACTACAGAAATCACTTTGGAACTAGAAACAATGAAGTGAAGGGTTTCTCTGGGTCTTGGTCTCTGTCTGTCTTCTCTGTCTCTGTATCTCTGTCTCTTCCTCTCTTCTTCCTGTTCCTCTTTCTTTTCCTCTTTCCCTTCTCCTTCTCTTCCTCCTCCTCCTCCTTCTCTTCTCTCTCTCTCCCTTTTCCTGTTCCTATTCATCTCTCTCTCTCTCTCTCACTCCTGACCACCTCTACATCTTATTTTTTTATTCTCTTCTACTAGCCCTGCCACAAAAAAGCTGGGAAGCTTATTGTCCTCCACCAAGGAGGACACACAGGCAGCTGGTATGTGCAGGGCTGTTCTGTTCAGTGAAGAGCTGTTCTACCCCAAAGTGCTCCTGAGGGGAATCTCTACACCAAAGCTACATTAAGAAGACCACCTTCCACCTGACTTCCCAAAAACCTTAGATTCCCTCCACTCACAAACCCAAAGGCCATAGGCATAGAAAAATTCCCAGCCACTGTCTCCTCAGAGTTTCTCTGTCTCTTCTCTCCTTCTTTTCTCTCTTCACTTCTCACTACCCAGGTGTTCCTCCTGGCCTCTCTTCAACCCATTTCATAATCCCTCTCCATCAGCGGAAATCAGAGCTGGGTACCTAGCATGGCTCCTGTCCGCATACTCACCCAACTGCCAGAACCACTGAGTCACTCTTCTTGCACAAATGTGCACAGAAGCCATTATGAGTTTCTGGAAAACAAAAGGTTTATCCTAGGCACCAAGAAGCCAGTTTTTAAAATATCCCTATTTCCAAGTAAATCCAGGGGACACTTACACAACATATACTCAATGCTCCTGCACAGTACTTTAAAATGGTTAATCTTGTGCCATGTGAGCTTCACTTCAATAAATATATTTTTCATCTAAGTAAATATTTCTAATTCAATAAATATATACAATTGGGTACTGTGGTATTGGGGATTTCACATCTGCAGATTCAATCAACTATAGATCAAAATTGTCTTCCCTTAAAAAATGTGCTGTAGTAAACACCCATGGGTCACTAGGAGGGGTCACTATTCCCTAAACATGTAGTATAAGAGACCTGAGCAACTGTGGATTTGTTGTTGACAGAGTTTCCTAGAACACACATGTGTGCACATACACACATATGCACATGGAATAATTGAATCATAGGGTTATGTTTAAATGTTTTAAAATTATTACAGAAAAGCATATTGCTACTAACTTTCTCAAAATACTCCCTCTCCCTTTGAACACACTTATCCCGTCATTCTTGCCACTTTCAGAAGCAGTTCTGGAAGTCCTCTTTCATGTCTTTAGTTGTGCTGTCATGGTTACACTGATGTCCTAAATAGATTCAAAATGTTTTCCTTTCCTTTCATGGTCATTTTGACTTTGGGGAAAAGCCAGAATTCCCCAAGTGTCAGATCCAGGGAATAAGGTGGATGAAGGCACACTATACTATTTTTATGAGCCTGTTTTTCCCTTGGAATGGGACTCAGCAGCAGCATTCACTGTCTTTATGACCATACCTCTTAAGGACACTCATGAAAGGAGACTTCCAGAACTGCTTCAGAAAGTGGCAAGAATAAGGACATACATGTGTTTTGAAGGAAAGTAACTTGAGGAGGGTTAATGGCAATGTCTTTTACTGAAATACATTTTTAAAAATTTAAATACATTAGATATGTTGATCATATCTTGTATATATCCTATTTCTAGATAGAGGTCATTACATTCCATATATGTTTTCTGAATGACTTGGGGCTCACCGACTGCCTGGTCTTCCCTGTAGTAATAGTGGATTTTAAATCCAGAAAGATAATCGTTTTTACAAGCTTCTCTAGCAAGGTTCCATCAGTAGTCTTCCCAAAATCCAAGTTAAGTATCTTACTTAAGCTCCCCAGGACGGTCCCACCACCATGATAGAAGATAACACCAGGCCTGGGACTATTTGAGGGTGTCTCAGGCCTATAGAGTTTCACTGGGATTGTTCCAAAACGGAGATCTGTGACCACAACACCTGGATGCTTCTTTAGTGGTGGAAGATCATGCAAAAAACTGACAAACTCTGTTCTGTGACAGAGTCCCAGTTTCTCAAAAATCACCCCCTGTTAAGAGAGAGAAGAGGAAATGCGTTGAGAAGAAATTGCACAGGGGCACTTCAACCCCTGCCTGCAGTCTGGCTGCCACATCTGCAGGTGGCCAGAAGCATCTTGGGAAATAACAATCAGATTGACCTATGGGACAGCTCAGCCCCCTCAGGGTCCCCATCATACCTGTAGTAAAAGCCAGGTCCATGTGGCCCCAGTACAAGCCAGCCCCTCCTGACCTGCTCTCCCAAACACTTTATACTATCCCCTACAAAAGGGGCTTCTGGTCACCGTGGCTGTTCCCTTGACCTGGAATGTTTCTGCCATGACAGGGCTCTTACTTCTTCTCAGCCTGGGCATGCCTTGTCTTTCTACAGGTGACTTTCTGGGCCTCTTACGTGTTTATTGCTAACTATTGTGATGACTTTCTTTTAAAGGGAAGGGAGAGTTCTTATCTTTGGGTTATATCTACCAGAATACTTTTGGATAAAATAATATGATATTCATCACCTTCTTAACCAGTAGCTGGACATGGTGGCACATGCCTAGAACCCCAGCACTCTGGGAGACTGAGGCATGAGCATCAAAAGTTGAGCCCAGCCTGGGCAATTTAATGATTTAGCAAGACTCTGTCTCAAAATTTAAAAGAAGAGAATTTAAAGGCTGAGGATATAGGTCAGAGAGAAAGCTCTGGGCTCAATTTCCACTACTCCTGCTTTTTATTATTCAATTTCCACTACTCCTGCTTTATATTATCCCCTTTTGGATATATCTAGACAGTTGCAAAATAAAAAATAGACAAACAGAGAAAGAGATATGCATTTCCAGTGTTTCCTATCCCTTTTGGCCAGTATCTGTGATTCTTTCTGGTGAACAATTTGCAATCCCTCTCTGACTGTAGCTGGTTGTTCTCCTTTCTATGAGAGAGAATGCTGCATGTCCAGTAAATGTTGTAACATGTCCAATGTTAGTTGTGAACATGGGATCATTTGGACCCCATTCCGCCCTCATGCATGCTGTCCTCTGAGGGGTCGAGGAACCCCAAGTGAATAAGCCCTTGTCTTCCCCTTGAACTGTTGTGCATTCTCTTACTATCAGCCTCTGTGTGTAGCTATTTATTTTTGGCTTGTTGCCTGTAACTTTGCTTGTTCATGGCCTAGCCCTTCCCCCACTGCCCTGAGACTCCAAGCTCTTTGAAGACAGAGACTTCCTGTGACTTTGTCTCTCTCCCATCATTGAAACTGAATCAGAACCATGACACTGAACAATTACATAGCCCGTGTTGCAAAAAAGTCAACAGTGACACTCACCACCATTGACGAAGGGCTCACTCCTTGCCACATGTTGTAATGTTCCCTTCAGATAGCTTAACTCATGGAATATCTGTAAAAGGCCCCAAAGTAGGAGCTACTGTTTCCCCCTATTTTGTAAAGGAGAAAACTAAGTCACTGTAATTGGGAAACTACATGATGAGAATGAAAGTCAAGGCCAGGACAGAAAAACCACAGGACCCTGTCATAGTAGCTTGGAAAAGCAGATTCTCCAGGTAAGAAACAGTATCTAGAGTTCTGCCCTGTCCAGGGTCTCTCATTTTATCATGTAAGAAACTTAACACAAATATTTTCAATACTCATTTCTGTCAACACTCTGGAAAAGTATTGTAGACTCATGTTGGCAACACCAGCGCCACTGCCACCATGACCGATTTGCAAGTATTTTAATGAATTACACATGCTAGGCACAGGAAATAAGATGGGGTTATATTACATGAACAGTTTCTCAGCTCTCAAAAGCAACATATTGAAGCCAGAGCTTTTGCATTGAGCTACATCCTCAAACCTCTTTTATATTTTATTTTGAGTCAGGGTCTCTCTGTGTTGCCCAGGATGGGCTTGAATTTATGATTCTTCTGTCTCAGTCTTGCAAATTTCTGGATACTAGGCATGGGCCACTACACTCAGCTCAAAGTCCTTTTAAAGTCGTATTTCATAGTTTTTATTCATTTTTATGCTAATGGTCTTAATTGTCTACTCCTCTATTTTGTTGTTTGTTGGCTCTCGCTAGAGGGTCAGTAATAACTGGGTGCAAGGATTCAGGACAATTCATTCCTCCCTCTGTAGCTTCACAGTGATAAAGATTATGCAGAAAGTGAGAGCAACTCAGATGTGAGCTTTTTAGATTTTTTCTGTTCAGGATAGTTATAGAATACTATATTTTGGATGTTAAATGTCTCCCAAAGGTCCATGTCACAAAGACTTAGCCCTCAGGTAGGGGAATTTGGAGGTAGTGGAAGCTTTGGGATGTGGGACCTAGTGAGAGGTCTTTAGGTAATTGGGGAATGCCTGGAAGGGGGTTTTATGGGACCTTCCCTCCTTCCTCTTCACTTTTGCTCCTCAGCCTTGAGATAAGCAGCTGTGCTCCGCCACGAGCTCCCACCATATGGACTGCCTCGCCACAAGCTGAAAGCAGCTAGGCCAACAGAGCATGAACTGAAACCTCCAAAACCACAAGCCAAAACAGCCTTTGTTCTCTACAAGTTGGTTGTCCCTGATACTTTCTTATAGTGAGGAGAAGCTAACTAAAACACTGAGAAATAAATAATTCTTTGGATTTTGTGGCTATTAGCCAAGTCCAGCTTTAGAAACATGGGAAGTGGCTGAGAACCACCTAAGGGGGATTACTCATGGTTGAGTCTCAACCACAGGCTACATAATACTAGTGTCAGTTTATCTAGAAGCCTGTAGTATGTGATTACCCCAAATCTCTACTTAACTCTCAAGAGGACGGGAGAAATAAAATACAAACTCACCCATGTCATCATCAGCTGGAAAATGTAGCTAAAGATCCTCAGTTTCAAGGGGTGTTCAATCCCTGTTGGGATGTACTCGGTCACAAGTTGGTTGCAGAAAACCCACAGCCCAACTCCCAACGAGAACACACAGGCTGCTATGGGGAGGATCAAGGCTATAATCATCATGCTGTCTCCGCCTCAGAGGATGCTCAACTGAAGCTGTGCCCGGCTCTGGCCATTTAGGACATGGTTTGAGGCCAGCAGATCTCCTCCTTATATAACACCACCTTCTCTCCCCATCTCTGAGTCTTCTGCAAACATTGGCTCAGTCCTGTGAGTCACAGAGCAGGTGAGGGTGTGGTTTTAGGGTGTGGTCTAGGCATAGAACCTGTGCCTAGAAGAGGCTCATATGGCTTAGTCTAGCTGGAAATGAAAGCTACAGAAGTCCAGCTTAAATCTTGGCCCTGCTCCTAGCTCTGGTCTTGGGTAAGTCAGCAAGTCACCACGGATATCATAAACATGATTCTCCTCACCTGCCTTCAGACCTCATTACCTATTCCCTAATTTCATTCATGAGCACACTTCCTGTTCTTCAGCTACTAAGGAGGCCACCCCAGGGCCTTTGCAATTATTATTCATAGTTAATTTTTTCTCCCTAGACATCAGATGGGCTCCTTTCTTCGCCTTTTGCTGTTCTCAGTACAAAGGACACTTTCTCAGTTAGGACATCCCTGCTTGCTTCTTCTTAATCGCCATTATTATCTATGTGTCACTTACCTCTTTGTTATCTATAGAATATGGCCTCAGGGAGGACAAGGAATTTCTTCTGTCCTGTTTTCTCTCCAGAAGCTGGATTTGGGTTCCCTTCTTTACATGTGTTGAGTAAGTGTCTACTGAATGACCGGTGAATAAACAGGCTTTGTCCTTTTCTTTGTGTGTGTGAAGCCAGAAATGAACTTGCTTGCTTTCCAGGCAGATCAGAGGTCAGTGTCTCCATTCACAAGGCCCTAATGAAGTCCCACCCCAGTGGCAACAAATACAGTGTCTGCTGAGTCCCCTTCTTCCTTACCCTGATCACAGAGCGGTGGTGCTCAAACGGTTCTCAGAGGGGGAGTTTACCTCCCTGGAGACATCTGGCAATGTCTGGAAGCATCTCATGCAGAAGGTAAGGGTGGTACTTACCTATCACAGATTCCAAGCATGTTGCTAAATACCCTACAATGCATTATTTAGGCCCCACAACAGAGAACCATCTGGCCCAGCATGTCAGGAAAGCCTTAGCTAAGAAACCCTGAGTTAGGAACATTTGGATTTGAAACCAAACACCAATATTCTCATCATGAGAAAGTTACTGACACTCTCTAAGCCTTGGTTCCAAAATCTGAAAAGTGCTAAGGTACTAGCCATTCAGGCTATTATGCTCATCTCCTTGCCACTGGCCATATCAAAGGAGGCCATATATGCGTATAAAAGAAGAATAGATTTATTCAAAGCTGGCTCTGAGCAGGCAGAGGGGCCTGTTTGCCTCAAATCATCATCTCACCATGCACAGATGGGCAGGGGTCTTTTAAAGTAAAGGACAGAGGGGAGGGGAGATACAGAGGAAGGATGCGGCTCTCCGTGCTTGCTTCATCACTCTCAGTTATCTCTGCTTCATTCCTCTTTATTTGTGGAAAGTAACCTGAGCTCCAGCCTCCAGGGGAGCTCTCATCTTCATATCTTATCACAAATTCTTTTAGGCTAAAGGGAGGAAGTGTCGGTTGTGTGCTGGGGGTGGGGTTTGGAGTAGTTGTTTATTTCTGCAAGGAAAAGTTTAACTTGGAAAGTTCCATTTTACAGTGCAGGTTACAATTCCTTCCTTGTTCATTTCAGCCTTCAGATGACTCAAGGGGTCTCAGCTGGCTGATTCATGTTGGATTGGTACATACTCCATCTGAGGTAGCTGGAGCATAAGCAAAGGGTTGCTAGGTCTTTGAGTTTGAAAAAGTATCACTAAAAATTATGAAGATCAAATAGAAAACAAAGCCAGTCAGGAGATATATCTAACCATTACCCCTAATGCTTTTAGCCAGTCATGTATAAGAATCCTCTTTTATAACCTTTGCAGATCTATTTAATTTGGTAGCATTGACACACAGGCGACTCTGATGCTTGCAACTTTCCCACCTTGTCTCTAAATGTATTTTCTTCTTTTCAGAAGCCTTTGCCAATTAACCATGTCCAGCTTTGTACTATGATACTGAGGTAGCTTTCTTGTGATGGTCTGAACATGTCCCATGTTGGAGACGATGTGACAGACAATTGGAGTCAGTGCCATAACCCTTTCTTGCCAAATTTGAGCAATAGCAAAGATTTAGAAAGAGTGGTTCTTGGGCTAAGACTATCTAAAGTTCACTGTCAAGTCTGATCCTGTCCATTTTATGATCAGCACCCTCAAATATCAGAACCTTGACAAGTACTTACAACTCTTGCAAGCAGGCACAGAAGAAGCTAATAAAAGCTAGGAAATCCAGTAGAATTAAACTAAGAAACATAGTGACCCAGTTAATCAAAGAAACTCAATATTTCTGTGAACCAAGTTTAGCTGTGCCCGAAAAGTGTTTGAGCAACAACTAGAGAGTAAATTAATTGAGCAACAACTAGATAGTAAATTAATAGTATTTGATCTATTACACAGAATTGAGTAAACCTTTCAGCATCTCTTAAAACTAGTAGAATTAGGCAACATAAATACGTTTATTAATAGACCCGGTAAATCATAGGTATTAACTATATAACATAGGATTTATTTTTCTTAAAACCAATTATTACTAGAATATCAAATAAGTTGTATTTATTCAAATTGTTATCTTAGGATATCCTAAAATGATAATGGCATTGAGACTTATATTTTAAAGTTCATTTTTAACCAGTTGACCTATAGTTTGACAAAAGTCTCCATTTTCAGATGTGTCCCTCCAGAATAGTTACTTTGAAATTTATTAAAAGGATTACATTTCTTTTGATTTTGAATTGGTTTTATATAGATATATATACACCAACAATCTATGAAATATATTTAAGAGACTCATGCATTATATACATGTTAAGAAGCAAAGAATACATGAACTTGTACTTACCAAATGTCCTTCATATTTTAACTAAATTATAAGTAATTTAGATGTTTTACTTATATTTATTTAGTTTAATTTTTAAGCAATTACCACTATATTGCCCACAAAATATAAAACATCTGAAAAATACAATTTAAAGTCCTGAAGCAATTTTTTCTTCTGTTGAGGAAAACAAACTTTTAAAAGTTGTATTCAATACCTCAAAATCACTACAACAAAATGCTTGTTAAAAAAAATCCTTGAAGAGTTTTCTGAGGCTTTCAAACTTGAATATTTAAATTAATTCCACAGAATTATTTTACACCAAATTTCTATGTTACCAAAAGCAAAGTATCTTGGCTAATAAGGATCCTCATAAATGAATCCACTTGGAAGACTATAAAAGAACTTTACTAATCATGGGCATGGATATGGCAAAGCTCAGAAAATGTAAAAAATCCAAAAACTTCAGGGAGAAATATTTGTCCCTTACCAGCACCTGCTTGCTTCATCATATCAGAGTCACGCAGTGATTGTTCATGTAAAAATTGTTTATATAAATATCAACATTTTCAGGAAGTTAGGAAGAAATAAATACAGCATGGCTGGGTGACATCTATTCAGACACAAGTTAATGCCTCAGACAAACAATTTCTTCACAAAGACTTAGTAAAAAGCTCTCAAGTGGATTTTTATTAGATAATGGCTAGTAAACAGAACATTTTAATTGCTCCCACTTCTGTCCTCTAACAAGCCATAGGAGATGTCAGTTATTTAACTCAACTTCTGCTGAATAGAAGAACCAAGTAGAAACTATCAGGCTCTGTAAATGACTCATGCTGAAGAAAGCAGCCTTGAGAACATTTTGGAACAAACCAATCCTGAGTCCTGAAACTGATGCAGTCATGACCTAGATGCCACCATACAGGTGGAAAATAGGCAGACTTCGACCTTTGCTTACTATTATGAGAAGCATGATTTGTATCGGTTTATTGGGATTTAAAAGCCATTTTGGCTACTAACCACAACTTTTAAACCAAGGTTTAACAGAGTAATGCCCCTTAAGAACCCTTTTGGGTTTTTTTGTTTTTTTTTTGGTACCAGGAATCAAACTCAGGACCTTGTGCTTGCCAGGCAGGCACTGTGCCACTGAGCTCTATCCCCGGCCCAAGAACACTTCTATTAATACTACAAGTAGCCTTTATACTGATTATTGCTATGTAACATTAAGAAGCTAACAATATAAACTTTTAAATAAAAGAACCCTAAGCTGAGGCTATATTTACATTATCTCAGTGTTCAACTGACTCTGATTTTCTTTTTGTTTGTTGTTATTGTTTTGATCCTGGGAATCAAGCTCAGAACCTTGAGCCCAGGCAGGTGCTGTGCCACTGAGCTGTATCCCCCAGCCCCTGACTCTGATTTTCAAGAGTATTTAAGTTTTCTAACAAACTCCGTTATTTAAATTACATTTCTTTTATGCTCTTTAATGCCTTTTTTTAATAATCTCAGCACAACTGAAATTTTTCCTAAAGCCAAGCACTTAGAATATAAATCTGATTGCCTAACAACAGCCAAATGTATGTTGACAGTTGTCACCTCTGTTACATCTTTCAAAACATTTCCTTGCTGGGCGTGTTGGCACACACCTGTAATCTCAGCACTCAGGAGGCTGAGGCAGGAGAATCACTGCAAGTTCGAGGCCAGCCTGGATTACAAAGTGAGTTCAAGGTGACCCTGAACTCCATAGTGAAACCCTGTCTCAAAAAGACAAAAAGAAAAAAATTTCCCCAAGTCATTTGAACAAAAAAGGCATTTGGGTTTATGCTTACATAGTTACTGAGCACTCATTTTAAATTAATCTGGTGCCACCTAAATAATATACAAACACAAGTACATGCATAGGAAATAACATGATACACACATGCCAACACACATAATATACAAAGTTATAACTTACTAGCTTTTCAAAAGTTACTCTATTGACCCTGTTTTTCTTTTTACAGTCCTAAGCAGTACTTAATCCTAAATTTGCGTACCGGAAGGTATGCTTTCAGGTACTAGCCAGGTGAGAAATAAACATCTTAAAGGAGATTACTTACCTAGCTAATCTGATTTTGCATTGTCTGAAGCTTTTTTTTTTTTTTCTGCCTTAATTTATAGGTCTTGGTCAATTTAAAAGCTC